TTCCGTCCGTTTTAAGCCTTATAGCATCAGGCCGGGTTATTCCACCGGCACCTTCGAAACCCAACCAAATCGCTTTAAAAAACCACTCCCTCCCCCCCCAGGAACGTGCCGTGAGTGACCACCGCGTGCGCAGAAAAAAAAAATCGGAACTACGGCGCCACCGAGGCACTGCTGGTGGACTGGGGGGACAGGGTCTCAGGCGTCGCGATCTTCATCGGTTCCATGGGCCTGTGGCCGAGCGAGGTCGGTCGCGTGTCTGTTGTCCCGTGAGTCCCGGGAGTGGAAAAAAGAACGCCGAGGCACGAAGTGTAGAAGCTATAATAGCTTCTCAATTGCTTTGTAATGCAGTCTGAAATTGCTGGTGATATCGTCACACGTATCAAGTAATGTCAGATCTCAATTTGCCCGTGCTATGGCTGGAGGTGTCGCAGTCTGCGCTGCACAAAGCAAAAACCGTACATGATCGAGATCTACATAATTGAATATAATATATATATATATATACCTTATATATATTTAGATTTAGTTATACCAGCTGCTTCCAATGGGTCACCAATGGACAACCCTACGCCCTACGCTACATATTGGAAGCGCTAGGCATAATCGAAGCTTGCATTTCCTGCACCTTGACGATCAAAGCCTGGATTTCGAACCCAGTCCAGGTCACAAGGAAGGAGGAAGCCAGCACCGGCGACTACATTCATGTAAAGAAGTCCCCCGCTTACACACGGCAAAACCATCTTCCATCATCTTCCGACTGCCATGTTCTGAAGCCGAAGGTGTTTCACGAATATGCGGCTTCAAAGGCAAGTAAATTCACTTCTGACAGGCTTGGCCACAAAATCAAATTATCTATATATATATATAGAACCTACAGTATCCTACAGTATGTTCATGTGTCTTTTTTTGCCCTGGGGTGGTCATTCACCTTTAGCTACTGGGGATCACCGCTGTCGACTTCAGACATGCCCCAAGTACCTTGTGTTTCTCAGGTCGCCGCGCCCCAAAAACTCATGCACGGACATGTCTCTCCTGACAAGACGAAGCACTATGCTTTTTATACACACACTTATATACAGTATAAAATATAGGATTTTAATAAGAGGTGCTGTTCATGAATGTCCATCTCAGTCCTGTTCTCGGGTCGTCTGGGTCTCATCGTTTTTCCGTGCCTCACCAGCTGCCGGGGGGGCACATGGCTCTTGAGCGTCCTCGGGCCTTAGTGGAGTCTTCGACCTAAAGGTACAGTTCCAGTAAAGGCTCCAGTGTTTCCATCACCAGATCGCGCCTTAACAGCACGGACTCTTTCACGGCCTCGTAACGACCCAACGAGAGGCCCTGTGGGAGACAAGACACCCGGCACCTGAGATGCTGGGATAGAGCTCAGGTGCCGTCAGACTCCGACGAACACGTCGGAAGTGGATGACATGGCCCGCTGGAAGACGAGATCCGATAAACGACTTAGAAACTGACTGCCACATACTGCCACTACTGGTGGACCATGAAGTAGGAGAGTCAATGTGGAGACTAAATGTGGAGATATGTGAAGTTAGCGATCAAGCTTGGCGAACTGTCGCCGGAGAATCCTCAAAAAAACTGGTCAAGTGGCTTCAGCTCAGTTGAACAGTATCAGTCAGTAGGATTCAGTAGGTTGAAAAGAAACATGTCTTAAAACCACCGCCAAGAAGACCAGCACTCTAAGGAGGCGAGCTGCCGCACCTGGCCCCCGAAAGACACCGTCGCGACCACCGCGGCACCGAGGGCCCAGAGCGGAGAAAAAAAAACACCATCCACCGGCAAAGGCCGCAGAAAGGAGCCCCCCCCTGGGCAACCCGAAACCCAAAACACGGATTCATTCCTAACGTGTTGGTCTCAAAAATCGGTCCGGCCAGACGCTCGTAGCTAGAAGTAGCTACGAGTAGCTACATACCCTTGTGACGTTCGTAGCGATGCCCCTTAATTAGTTACAAAAGTAGCTACATGCGCTACAGTCCCCTCTCTGTGTTAATAACATATGTTTGAACTGATCTGTACCGATTGCATGGGCATTTGGGTGAAAATCCTTCGATTTCGCTGTCCGGGTGGCCGCTGCGTCAGGTGGCACGGTTCCAAGTCGCCCTGCTTGGCGATCTCCTCCGGCTCCAGTTCCGGCTGGAGGAAAGGACAAGCTGCCTTTTTGGGGGTCTGTCCCTGGGACATCTCTAGAGCTGTCGGGAAGAACAAGAACCTCACGGCCTTGAAACGGGGCTCTACGGCCTACGGCCAACAAGCTCTTCGGTCCGTCCGGTGCCGGACACCACGAACTCGTAGCGTCCGCGTCCCGGCTCCGCACGGTCGGAGCGGGAATGGGGTGCTCCCCCGGTCGTCGACCGAAGAGAAGGCCGGAGGGTGGACGACTGAAGACTGTGGAGACGCTAAGACTGTGGAGAACAACCGCTATTGAACAGATCTTGAAACATGTATAGCTTTTGGAGTCATCGAGGCCAATGAGGCCAATGGTCAGGACGAGGGGCGATTCCACTTCATACACTGGAATTTGGCAAACAGGTCTGCTGATCTACAATCTGCAGCACAAGTTTGGTTCGGTAATATGAATTCGCCACTGCAGCCGACCAATCTTGTTCCTGTTAGTTGGCAAGGAGCCCCTTTTCCTCCAAGAGACAGGTGTTGCAGGTGACTGTGTGGTGGTCGCAACAGTGGCTGCAGGAGACTAAGCATTTGAAGCATTCTTGTCAGTTACAACAGGCATCTTCTCCATCCCTACTGATCATGACAGAGGACAGGGACCGAACAACCGAACACCAGGGAGAAAGCCCGGCTGACCGGAATGGGCCGCTAGGGCATCCGATTCAACTGGAGTTTCCAGCCATTCCCGAGTGGAATGGACCAATCAAGTCCGACATACATGCCTAATACATGCTGCTCTAAGCCCCCGGAGGCAATTCCACCTATATATACCATCTATATAAATGTAATTTGACAGTATACACCCAATCACTGAAATATACAGCAGTAGATAAGTTAACATAAGTGAAGTAATGTTAAGCATTGTAATTCTTAAGTGTCATATAATTAGGTGAGGATGAATACTCACCTTTGCAAGTGCAACACCAGTACTCGTCCTCTGCGCCGACACCAACAACCTGTGGCACGACCCACGGGTCGTCTTCTGCGGCCGTGGTCCTGACTCATCGTGTTGATCATGGCAGATTGCATGGCCGCGATCTGCTGCAAACGAAGGTTCTCCATCTGACGCGGAGCACTGGAAGACGGTTCCTCCTTTTTTTGCGTCCGCCCCTCTGAGCCCTTCCGGGTGCTTACGGTAAACAAAACTTCCACGGTAAAATAGACAGTTGAATTAAACGTGACACTAAGTAATGTGTGAGCCACCAAACACCTGCACCTATATAACGGGCAGTACGTATGAAATTATGAATTCACGTGTGTGCGCTCAGTTCAGGAAGGAGATCTCGTCCAAAGAGGTGTTATTCAAGATTCAATATTTCTCTCTTCTCGGATAGAGGCCGCTGCGCTTATGAAATGGAATATCATCAAAAGGCGATTCCAAAGGGAAATCTTTCTCTAAGGAAGGCGTCTCCAAGCGAACATGGTGTGGATAGCGCTGGTTAGGAAGGGAGGCATCGTCTCGTATCGCTCGATGAGTCTTGGCGAATCAGGGGCAAAAGAGGGCTCGAGGCAATGCCTCCACTAAGCGTATTAGGGAAAATGCCCCAGTCTTTTGTACTTATAGGGACGACATTTGTTTGAAGTGTATATAAGTGTATTTAAAAAATGCCGCACAACAGCACGAAGTGTGTTGGCTTGATGCCATAGGCTCCGGCTAGCTTCTTTCTGGATGGAAACCTCTTCTGAGTGAAATGCGTACGGCGTAGGCAAACGCTCGTCAGAGTGGTAAATCCATATAGGAAGTGCGGAGCCCGTGTAGAGCATGAATGCAAAACCAAAGTTGGATCCATTTGGTGCAAAAGCTGTTACACTGAGAGTCTCCATGTGTCACCATCGTCAAAGCTGAAGCTTAACTTCGTTGTTGGTCAACCTCTTACTGACTGATTAAAATATGGGCTCAAACAGGTTGCTGTCTGCATTTAGGTCATCAAGCCTGCATGTTTCAGATCCAGGAAATCCAGCTGTCTCGCGCGGAAGTATGATCATTTGCCAAAGAGTTTGTCAAATCAATCGAGGGGCATCACATGCTTCATCATGTTTCGCCTCTGGGTTCCCTGCATGTTCTTCTTCGCACCTCGATACCCCAACACCCTTCCTGCCCCCAAACCCCCGAGAAAACGCCTGCATCATAGCTGCCCATTGTGCGCTCTGCATTTGCCACTGCATCTGCCGTTCGTGGTCTATCAATGGTCTACTGGAACTTCACACGGGGCCTGGAAATCTGGCCGCACGAGCCTGAAAAAGGTACGTCGAGGCCGTTGGCGAGCTTCCCCAGATCAAAAAGAGTTCCTTCTGCTGACACCTGTCATGGTACTGCATGAAACGCCCAAACAACTGCTAATTCAGCCCCCAGCTAGGTTAGCATCTTAGTGCTTTACCACCTGGACACACTTCAACAAGAAGCCTCTACTCATAGCAGCTTCTTCCACTGTCCAAGGCGGATGGCTGGTTCAACTTGTCATGACCACGGTATAGGAATTCACCAAACTAGCCATAATTGGTATAGGAATTCACCAAAAAAGCCATAATTATTGTGAGGATCCTGACAAAATGAATAACATATATATAATATAATATATATATATATTATATAGCATATCGAATGCCTCAAATAAACAGAATCTCTCTCTCTCTCTGGCCCCTCTCCGGGCAGTCCAAGCCCCTTTTGGGAGGTAGAATCTGATTGCATCCCCTCATGACTTCGCAAGCCAACCCTGGATCCCCCATCTTCGGCCTTGGGTGGAATACTTGCCATATCTTGCCATGACCCACGGTGTCGTTTTCCGGTCGCGGGTGGGTTTGGCGCCCCGGACCGCTTGGAGGAAGCGCGTGGCAAAGAGACGTCGCAACGGCTCCAGGCGGAGCGCCGAGCTGAAACTGGGCCTCGGCGCTGCCGCGCGGGAGCTGGGAGCGGCGCGCTGCAGCTGGTTGGGGTTTTGGGAGATGGATGAGGAGGGGCTGCGAGGTTTGGCCCCAAATCCAAACAACTATGACGGGTGGGGGGGTCCAGACGCTGTGAACATTTTTACACTGAATGAAGTGCCTCTGCATTGGCCCCTGGTTCTGCATTGGGCCTCGGGCCAGTCAAAGGGTGACTATGATCCTATGGGAATGGAGGGAGCTCGTTCGCTGGACCAAGTGCGGAAGTTGAAAACGCTGCAGCAAATGATTGCCTGGAAACCTTTAATATCTTTACTTATATGTACAGTAATTGAAGTCAATCGGATCCTTTCCTGACGAGTCCCGGGCAGGAACTCACTGATCCCTTACGTAGTGGCCATGCAGTGAACCAAAAGAAAAGAATCCTTGTGGCATGCCCCAGGCACGCCTGGTGCATCACTCATGTCATTGCCGTGGTTTCTTCGCCCCGTTCATCGGTGCTGAGCCTGTCTAGAAGAAAAGGGAGCTCACCGCAAGTTGGCGCCTGTCACTACAAGTGACTTGGTCAAGCGAGGATGACTCCAAGCGAGTGACTGGTCCAAACCACATCCACTCATGCAACCCAGCACCAACCCTCCGGTCGACCAGCTACACTTGACATGCACGTGGCCTCCACCCCGGGCCCCCAACTCTTGGGCGCTCCCACATTCGCCCGGGGCTCTGCTCCAGATCCAAGCGCAGCAGGGAGAGGCTCTGCGGCCACGCTGAGGGAGGGGTCTTCTTGCGCTCCGGCGAGTCTAAGCCTGAAGATGTCGAGACGAGGACAGGAACGACCATGTTGGAGCGTGAAAACAAGTTGATGAGGCAAGTTTGAGGGGATTTGTTGCTCCCATCTGTATCATCGGTATATAGATCTCCCCACCCTTGATATTGCGAATATTCTCCTTCCACTCAAATCCACTTTTCATGAATCGTCTGTGAATCTGGAACGGTAAGCAGTCCTTCCAATGTTTTAGAAATGTAGGAACAGGCAAACAATACACTGGTTCCTTATTATTGACCCCAAAGCCCCGCAGCACAGCGTAGGATGGGAAGGGCCGGGAGCTGTAGCTATCCCAATGTCTTGGATGTTCGATTCCCGAATTGCAAAAAGGAACACGTAAACCAAGCGCGCCCTGTACAAACCCAAAGATGTACCGACGGGTAAAGGCCCCAATGCCTGCGCCAAGCATGTGTCAAAAAGAAGGCCAAATAAAGTCTCTCTGGTGATGTCCAAACGGCAAACAGGAATCGACTGGCTGTAACTAACATTAAACATATTATGAACCTATAATATAGCAATCACCCAGCAAAGCCCTCAGTATCGCAGCCCTGCCTGCCAAGGAATCCACGCCACATGAGGAATTTTGCTCAGTTTCTTCGCCTGTGATCAGCTTCGCTGTCCACCAGTCGTGCAACGGCCACACGGGAGCAGAAACAGCCAAGCTCCCATCATCAGGGTTTTGGCATTTGGGTTTGAACCCTCGTTCATCTTCCATGTTTTTCAGCATGCAGGCTTGAGTCGTCAAATGCACCTTCAGACAGTAACTTTGATTTTCACCGAGGTCATCTTCCATGTGCAAAAATGGTTTGTCTTAGGATCGCAGGCAATCACGGAGTCGGACTGTTCAGCTGTGGGCTGCCGGGACCCTCAAAGCATCCTGAAAAAATATTGGAATGAACCTTCAAACACCATACCGTTTAAGACGGTATCTTGATTAGTAGCGTATCAACATGTTGGAGGCTAGCATGTTTACCTTATACCGGAGATCTTTCAGTAAACCTCCACTCACTTCGTGAAGCTTCTTGAGCTTGACCCCTCCCAGAACCAGGATTCTACTGTGGCATGCCTCACGATCTTGCCTAGCATTGTCCCTGCAAACTGTTTAGAGCCAACACCCTCCACTTAGGATCAACACTTCGAGTGGTGAAACACCCTGGGTCTATCGGCTCCAGTGCCGCCACGCCAAGGAACTGGCCATTTTCTCCCTCACCCCGGGGTCGAGTGAGTCTAGTCGATGAGGATTGTTGGTCAAAGGCATTTTGCTACAAATGGTTGATGCTTGTCACAGGCCATCACAGGCCCCGACATCTATAGTTAGTTTATAAAATATATGTATACTATTATATATATATATATACTATATACATCTATATACCATTGGTCTCAAGTTGGGCCAGGTCCGCAATCATGGATCATGTCACAATACTACAGATCCTTCGTTCCAAAACCCAAAGACGCCCTGCTCCTGCACCGAGATCTGGTCTTGGAGCAGCCTTGCCCTCCTGCGAAACGCAGCAAACATGTTGCCAGTGCACCCACCAAATGTGATTGAATTCCGCTGTCAATTGTCAGTTGCACCATTGCACCATGCATGTTGCACCGCTGCACCGCAAAAAACTCTCAGGATGGGAAGTGCCAGGTGCGAGCCTTTGGTGGCCCTCCCTTGTTTCTAGGTGAGCCCGGTTATCTCATTGCATGCGCATGTAAAATCATCCGTCCCCATGGGGGCGCCACAGTCGTGTGCAGTCAGGCATGAGCGCTAGAAGTCAGTCATCTAATCACTCAAACATTTTAGCAAGCCAAAGACATCAAGACTCTGTCTGATACGGAGTAGTTACTGAGTAGCCTGAGTCGTCTTTTGCATTCTTTTGTGTATAGCATTTTAAGATCTATTTTAAGGGCGTGTATCATCTCCTAAGCGTGCACCACCTCTGGCTGTGAAGAAGCGGTCTCCGATGAACACTGCTACGCAGTAGCCCTGACGTGGGTATGAGCACATGCTCCAAGCACTGCATGGGCACAGGGCCACAAAGAAACTCAACTCAAGACATTGATGCGACTTCCCAGAAGTCTGAAACCGATGCCCCAGGCTGTCTGCGGAACAACTGCTTCGTTCACGTCCTCGAGCAACCGGTGGTGTAACAGTGGCAGCGCCTGGTGACAGCGTTGCAGGAACCCACCCTCATCCACGGGGTTGCATGGATGGTGACGAGTGACGACCTAAGAATTACAAGCACAAACTGGGTTCCGAGCACCAATCATTATTACACCCAAATCCATCCCCACCAATATGTGATGCTATTTGGATTCAACTCCCGCCCCATACTCCGCCCTCACTTCACTTTTGAAACACCTCCAACCTCACAGACCTCATACCTCCACCATCCTCCAGTTGAGATCAGCTGAGCACGGTTTCTCATGCCCTCACCCTCTCTCTCCGGCCGAGTCGCCGCCACCGCACGGCCCAAGGAGGAGGCCAAGGCATGCAGCCGCAGCGGCGGGAGCCCCTCGGTCCAGACCAGCAGCGAGACCTCCCCAGACGCGGAGTCTGGATCTGACTGAAGGGCAGATGTTCGAAAGGGCCTGAGGATGCCTGAGGGGTGGGGATGAAAGGGTCAACGGGTGGAGAGAGGTGAACGGGCGACGTGTTTCGGGAGACGTGTTTGGCGCCGCATCAAGGCGTTCAGGGTGCGCATGCGGGTAGGAAGGAAAGCTGGTTTTCGCATGTGTTCCCCCTCTCTTGCTCATCAAATTCCGTGCAGTATACGAAATGGCTTGGCCTAGCATCTTCAAACTCATCACCAGCATCACTCAGTCATGTCTATGAAGCTTCCGGTCATCAGCAGGTCCGTCAAATGGAGAAGGAGAATGCGACTGCCATATGGAGCACCGGTTTACCGTTCCCGGCCTCCTGGGGGCGACAGCGGCGCGTCGTTTCGGCGACCATCTGCAGCTGGTAGCCTCGTCTGCTTTTGCGTCCCCCATCCGGTCGATACCGAGAAGGCCAATCCAAGCCCGGCCTGGTCCAAATCGGAGTTTAGTTCCCGGGGCGGTGGAGCTTCCGTCCTTCTAGCGCGTCGAGTCCTTCTAAGAAAGGTTCTCAATCCCTGTAGTGAGACCGGAATGAAGATTTGCAGGACGCCTTCTTCATCTTTCAACCGCCTCCGTCTGGAAAAGCAAGTGAGCAAACAATTTGTTGACGACTTGAATTTGAGTGGCGGTTTCTGTGCGTTCCTCTGCGGTATAGCAAGGAGCATCCAACTGCTGGCTGTGTGGCAGCTGACTTCCTTCATCTGGATTACCGAGTCCTCCTCCTTTCACTTCCCAATCCTCCTAACCAGTCGCCCCCTCCTTTTCAATCGCGTCACACCTGGCAGCTCGCTTTTCGTCACCTGCCTGTGCTCTCCCAATCATAGAGCCAAACCCTGCGCTCGCACAACGCACGCGACGCCCACCAAGCGGCTGGGCGTCAAGAGGTACTTGGTGCGGCAACGCTGCTGCACCGCCACCCGCTCGAAGGGCGACAGGGCCTCCCGGGGCCCGGATCGGTCTCCGAACCGCCCGGTAGGTCTGGCCCCATCCGCGGCGGGGGTGGGAAGGAAGTGTCTCCTCTGTCTTGGTGCGCGACTCGGAGGGACGGAGGGATTGTCTAGATCCACCGCCTGGGATCCAACTCCCTCCTTCCGGCGGTCAGTGCTCGTGTCCGTCGTCAGCCGCAGCACCTCGCAGGTGGCGATCGGCGCTTCGGCGCCCAGGAGCGGCAGCGTCCGGTCCCAGGCAGCCAGCGAGGCCTGGAAAAGGCAACCGTGCGAGGAGCTTCAGCAGGGTGATCACCACTGGTGCATGTTCCAGATGTTTAGAGCTTTGCAGCTTAGAGCCGAGCTTCGCAGCTTAGAGATGCTTAGAGCTTAACAGCTCTGACTAAATGGCTTCGGACCGGTTCGGACCTGCCTATAAGGGAATCTCCGAAACCCTTGGACGTGGTCGCTGGTCGTGGACGTGAATCTCACATTTGAGGACACCCATGGTTGCAAACGATGTGAAGACAACTCTGTGGGGAAACCCTCACTGGACCCTTCCGACTGCACAGCCAAGCCTCAAGTCCGGTGTTTCCTTCATGGCCGGGCCCGTGCAGAGGGAAAATGTGACCTGACGCCAGGGAAGGGCTGGTGCAAACCTTGTACGAAGGAGGAGGTTGGAAGTCTGAGTCCATAAGCACTCAAATATACAATACTCCTTGAATCTGTCTAGCCTTTGTTCCTACAAAAGGCCAAAAAAGAACAGAAACATGCTCAACAGCCCAAAAAGAACACCTTGGCACTTATTATCTGTTCAAAGGTCTTGCTTTGCATGCTAAAGCCTAAAGCCAAAACCGCATGGCCGATCTCCCCATTGGTGTCCGGCCGATCTCCCCACAATGGCTGGTACGTTTGTCGTGGCCGAGCATGAATCCCCCGACCGTTTCGATCAGCCCATGACCGTCGTTGGACGCTGTAGATCGAACGAAACGGATCCCATGACGATCGAACGGAAACCGTCGCGTTTCTTGCGGTGTCTCTGCGGTGGGGCAAATGGATAAATCACTGGGCTGAGGGAGATCGTCCCGGGCATGTTTTTCCGGTGTCTTCGGTTTCTTGCGAACTGGGCTGAGGGAGATCTGGGCAGAAACTCACAGTCACATCAAACCGAGGGCATCCTCCGAGCCTTCTGTGGTGAAGACACTGGAACCCAAAGGCCAGGGCAAGGCTGATGCGAGCTCCTCAGCGGAAGAACAAGAGGGCCAAGAGGGTATATTATATGAGATTATATAGGCGCCGGATGGCGCCGGTGTTTTCATAGGTTGGTTTCTGATGTAGGTATGGATGCCTTGGTCGATCCAAAACGAAACTATTTTGATGGCTTTTGCGAGTTGCACCTGAGGATGGTTCTTTCTGTACATAACATAGGTCACTGGACTGACGTATGGTCTGCCTGTGGCAACGCAAGGCCATCAACACTGGCCAAGCATGGCCAAGCTACATCGCTGGGAGCCATGGCCAAATAAAGGTAGACCAAGGTCTCGGAGAGGAAGAAGGAGTCCATTCGGTTGTCCAGCCTGAAGGGAGACGTTCGACCCGCTTCTAAATTTAGCCTCCTTTTCACCAAAGGCAGTGCAGGTAGGATGTACTATAGCTATTTTTTGTTCGAAAATTTGTGGAATATTGTGGGATGATGCTTTCGCATGCGCCATGCTGTTTTGCTGGGTGAGTAATGTTCTGCGCCCCTGACAGCCTGAAACTGCTGTGCCCCCAATCCCGCCAACAAACATACGACCGTGTACAGGACAAGCAAAGAACGTCGACACATGGATCATAGGTTTCATAAAGTTTCATAGTTGATTGGCATACGACCGGAACACATGGATTCGTCGATGCCGAGTTTCGTTGGGACACAGGAACGCAAACGTGGGCCTTGCACCATCCGTTTTGTTAGCTTCGTTAAATTTGGGTACAGTGATCTACCGCCAAGTTAAGATACTTATAACTAAGTTAGTATAGTTTTGGGAGATATAAGTTCGCATAGACTCTAGTGAACTTAGACTATGTTACACCATGTTGTAACCTATGTTACACCAAGTTATAAGTAAGGGTAACTGGGCGGTAGATTACTGTATAGTCCGCTCTGGGGGGTCGTTAGCTATGCCCGTTTTTTGTGCCCTCTGAATCAGGCGTGGCAATCAAACCTGTTGTAACACTGTTGTATTTGCTCAATTTGCTCACCCCTGGAAGGAAGAGCGCGGTTTGTAACATCAGAGAACCACTGTTTGCTCAATTGCTCACCTCCCCCCCAGTCACCAGTCAGTGCTGTCCTGGTGTGTTCAAAACAACTTTCCCCACTACAGTGAGATGGTGAGCGGTAAATAGTCAGGCGCCAGTGATTAAGTCTAGCCTTCGCCATGCCCGACTTCTCCACACAGCTAACTGGCCTATTGAATCTAGAAGCTTCTCATTCTGCGAAATCCGTTCCCGCCAGGTTTCGGTTTCGATCGAAACAGGGACTTCCGTCCATCGAAACTGTCTGTTTCCGGCCCCATCTTCAAAAACCTCCAAAAAGCACCAATCCAAAAACAAACCCAACCCAACCCAAAACCCACCCACTGCGCCCGTGCATTATCTGTATTGCCCCGAACCGGGCACTGCTTCCGGTGACGCTCGTCGTCCCGGGGCGTCGCACCGTTTCGTGGTCACGTCCGCCACGGCCGCGAAGCCACACGAGACCCGCGACTGCTCGTCGATGGCATCGGCCATGGAGCGGGCCTGGTGGCCGTCCGCGGGTCCACGCGACCGGCGTCCGGTTCGAAGAACCAAATTCAAATGCCTGGCTCAAACGAGCTCAAGAAGAAAGGACACTCTAAAGACTCTAAAGGTTTGGAGCAAATTCTATTCTTGAAAACACTTGGATGGTGGAGGAGTTCGCCAGGCATACATACGCAGCAGGCACATAATACAGTACAGAATGTGTTCAGAATGTTCTCTATTGTGGCGTCGTTTTTTTCACATCACCACAGAAACAACAAGCCGGTTTTAAGCAAAAGAATGTTCCCGCAAAAATCCAATCATGTTCGTGCAAATTGATCTCTCTCTCAAACTATGTTAAACCTTGTTTAAAAAGTTTGCCGCGCTCGCGTCATTTGATCCAGTACTCGCGCAATATGATCTCATCATAAAACTACAAGTGCAGCAGTGGTATACATATTGCAAACTGTTTTGCAAGACAAGGTTCACTTGGGCTTTCGGGGAGCCTAATGCAAGAATGGCCGTCGATGTTTGAAGAGTTTGCTACAATTGATCATAGCCTCACGACTCATTGACCATCGTGCTCATGGTTGTGAGAAACCTCAAGTTCCAAACCCTCAAGCTTCAAGTTGCGCGCTTGTGGCTGGTCCTCATCAATTGTCAATACTCAAGTCACTTGGGAGGCTCCCTGTAGAAGGAACTCAGTTTCATGCATTCATATTAATTCATGGCAGCAAAAAAGCTTCTTGTAATTGTAGCCAATCCAAAACCATCAATTTCGTTGTGGCACCTTTTCCAGGGAATTCAAGAAATCTGTTCAAAGGGTACTTCTTAGGAATGCAAAGAACTTACAAATATGGACTACTGTACCTAAATAATAGATTGATGTCCTTTTCAATCCCAACAAAGACTAGGTTGCAATTGATAACTGATATATATATATAATATGTATTGTAATTATTACTGCACAAGGTCAGAAGAGCAGCAACAAAGCCAGCAAAACCAGCAGCAGAAGATCAGCAGCAGCACCAGCAGCAAACCAGCAAATGAAATAGTGGAGGTCATCGCATGTGTAACACCTGAGCTCCATCTCATCTTCTCTGCATCTAGCTGTTCCTTGCCCCTGCCGGCCCGGCGGTGATACAGCTAGATGTTCCTTGCCCCTGCCGGCCCGGCGGTGAGATTCACACCTATACAGTTATTCCGTGCTTGGTAATGTGCTCGGACTGCGGGTCTCCGTAATAAGGGGCAGCCCGATCATATGCTTGCAAAACGTCGAGCACTAAAGCACAAGTAGAACGCTGAAAGCACCGACTTCTAGCGTTACTGTCGCTGAGAGGCAGCAGCTCAAGAAGAAAAAGGGCGACACCACCTTTCCAGCTCAAGCATATGTGCATCGTCCTTCTCACTCAGCATATTGCAATAATAAAGGGCTAACCTTCCTCCCTGACAATAAACAACATGATCTCTCCACAAAATCATGCAAACATATTTTAACGATTTTAATATGTTTTTGTTTTGTTCTTTTCATGTCCTTGTCAGCTCCTTTCAACTCCTTTCACGTGCCTTTAAGTCTTTCCAATTCTCATTTCCGAGATCCATTGCTGCGGGAAGGTTGGTGATTGCGGCAACTTGTTCCTTGCCACGTGCACATGAAGTTGGTTCCACAATTGAGGTCTTCAACTAAATCATCCTGACCCCCACCACCACCCCATCACGCGCCATCTCGAAGACGGCAGCATCGCCCGGGAGTGCCAAGGAGAGGTAGAAAATGGCTTCGATGAGCTCCGGACGTAGTGGTGAGTCCCTGGCCACCGACCAAGGAGTCAAAGCCCAAGCCCCGACTAAGCCGGCGACGCGGTCGGGTGGTGTTCGTCCCTTTTGAACGCCCAACAAGTGGTTTTCCTTCACCCTTACGTATCTGTACGCTAAGTTAATTGGCTCGTGTCTGTACATAGCTACTGACCAGTGGATAGAGTCAGAGTAGATGGCGGTGGTGAAGAAAAGACCCCCATGTGGCCCAAACACATGCACCTGGACCCTCCAGTACGTACCTTAGAACAAGGGACATGACTCAACCCTTAAAAAAAAGGAAAAACAGGTTACATACTAGCTTGTACATCTTGTATCCATTTGATGAAGTACTTTGAGACGTGGGTGGCCCACGTCTCACGTCCGTCGAGTCGGGAGGGGGTACCGAGGTCGTCAGCCTTGCTGACTGGGCCATGGGGACGGGGGTCGATCAGCCCATGGGTCCCATATGGGTGCCATGGGCGATTTCAGGCGCCCAAAAGAAAGAGATGCAAGGAAAGCATCTAGAGACTCTTGGAGGTAGTGCATGCCCTGAATGCAGTCGGCACAAGCCAGAGAAGATCCCTGGACCAGATGAATCGACCAACCTCCTTCATCTGATTCTTTCGCCCATGCCACAGGACTTGCCATCCAGCCTGGCTTGCGTCGGGCTCTGCGAGCGGGTATCATAGACCTCCGGTAAGGCGTCGTGCTTCTTCCAGAGGCTGTACCTCACCCGCCATCAGAGGTTCAACCAACTGCCAATGCTGCGACGACCAATTCATCTGATGCCCACATATTGTTGCAAGCATACTGGGTCTTTTACAGTAGCATGCTGCAATGTCACTGATGCCACATGCGTGGAATCATGCTGGGAGTGTTTCGTGTGTCTCTGCTCATCCACACTTACCATTCAAACAGATTAAAATCATCAACCTCAATCAAATGCGTCTGGTAAAGGCCTGTCTAACTCCGAATTTGCGAGTAACATGGAGCAACAGTTTAACACCCTCTACCAACAAACCGCAGGTCTCTCAGGCAACGTCTCTCCGGTCGCCCCGGTATGACCCGGTGGGCTCTGCCGTCATCGCACCCAGGTGGCACCAGTAGAGCACAGACCGAAGGCCGCTGGACACATCGCCGATGAGCACTTGCAGTGAGGCCCAAACGCAAGCCAAGGGTGACAAATGCGTATTCATCATGAGGCCCTTGTTCATGTCCTCAGAAGATGTGCTCAGAATTCGCTGGTGAAAGGAAGGGCGAGGCAGAATTGAGGAGAGGTCAGGCATCTAAGGGCAACATGTTCAGAAACATGTCCTCCATGGAGGGTACCAGCAAAGCTGTGGGCCGCCGGCCACGGTGAACTTGAACAGCTTGAACAAATTGACCGTGATCTGACCCCTCTGCACTTCAAATAACGAACTAACTGGATCTATATAACTGGTTTGTCGCAACATGGTGTGAAAATCACAATTCTCAAAGCACTCTCAACGTCCAAGCGGCAACAAGTTCAAGTTCTTACCCATCAGCTGATGTTTCTGCTGGGACAAGTCGAACATGCTCGGGTCACTCCCTTGATCCAACGATCTCCCACAACCGCCTTTGGCCGCCGAAAGGCAGCCACCTGCTGGCCTGCTGGGACGACCAACCAAGTCGTCCCAGCGCGGAAACGGTTCGAACTCCGAGCGTCGACGGTGTAGGTGAATCCCTCGAAACTGTGATGCTGCTCTACCTCACGCAGGGGCGGAGCCACGTGCGGAGCTGTGAAGTGGTGTGTTGCGCAGCCGTGCGGAAGGCAGTGCCTCCCAGGGCCCGGTGAGCTGAACTTAGTGAGTCCATGACCGTCCGTCTCTGATGCGGGTGATATCCTGGCCATCGAATCAACCAGGAATCCATTGAAGATAGGCAACTGGCGGTGGTGGCACAAGAAAACAAGGAACTGCCAACTAGCAATGCCTTCCCCATAATCATCCAAAAGGGCACTTGACATTTTATAAGATCGCAAATATCCCATAGTATAGTACAACATATGACGAATAATTAAATATACAATTTAGATTTATATACATCATGACACCAAAAAATATATATACAACGTCGCCACCAAGGAACTGCTGCATATGCACTGAGGAAGATATCCAAAAGTTCCAGGTCTTTGAAGAGAATGTATCCTGGACAGTCATCGATGCATCCACATCCGACCCCGGGGCATCCAGCACTACGGCGGCTGACAATTTTCTTTAGGATTCTCTCCGTTTTTTGATGGATTATTTCGAGTAGCGCTTTCATATGGTGATTCCGTGGCACGCGCAGCACTTTGTCAACTTCGAAATGCGGATTTCATGGCAGGTGCGGCGCTTTGCGCACTAGAAGTGCAGATTTTGTGACCAGAGCAGCACTTCGTGAACCTCGAAGTGCACATTTCGTGGCAGGCGCAGGTTGGTGACCCTTGACAATCAGCTCTGCAACTTCATATGGTGATGACGATGACAGTGATGAGATGTGATGAGGATGAGGATGATGAAAATGATGATGATGATGATGATGATGATGACGATGATGATGATGATGATGATAACAATGACCGTTTGTGTGGCTGATGAGGCTGATAATGTTTATGGTGATGATGTGATGATGATGATGATGGTGGTGATGATGATGACAAAGGCATCTTGCGACATTGGAATGGCCCATTGTTGCTCCAATTTGTCGCCTTGCATGGCTCACAAATTTTGTCACAAAAAGGTCCGCTACATTGGAGTGGTTCCTGCCTCTTCTAAATTTTACCTTTGGGTGGCTCTCGGATGGGTCACAAAACGTCTGCTACATTGCAAATACCCGGTGGACAATGGTAAGGGAAGTTAGTGATGCATTCTGTAAACAATTACCCTGTATAGAATGGGATGTCCAGCCTTGCATCTCTATAAAATGGAAAACCACTTAACACCATAAAATGCAACGTCCAGCCTCAAGGGTCAAACATATTTCCAGAAAATGATTGAAATTGTCATGTTGAAGTCAATTATGAATACATATAAATATATTTTTATACTATATAATGTCATATAAACACTTGTTTCTTCGATTTCTGTTCATGGCCTTCAAAATTTTGCTATGTCCATGGCTCTGTTGTTTCTACTTAGGGCACCCTCACTATAAAATTCGTCCTGGAAAGCACTCTATACAAGTCAACCCTCCCCATTTATTGACAAGAATAGGTTGTGCCTCCTGTAAATTTCAGCCTCGGCTGGCTCAAAAGTATGCTCGGTGTGAGTGGCTCCTGCCTCCGCTGATTCTTACTTTCAGTGGCTCACACAAGGTCCGCTGCCTTGCGCTCGCCTCTGCCTCTTCCAAGATTTTACCGGTGCGCTACAATGGAATGGCTTTTGTGCTCGCAAAAGTTTAACCGTGGGCTGGCTCAGAAAAGGTCTGCCACATTGGACTGGCATATGCCGCCTCAAAATTTTACGCAGGCTGGCCACCCTGGAACAGCCAACAGCACAGTGCTCTCGACACTGGCCACTGCAAACAGCACTGTTTTGCAAGCTGGCCACGCTCATGACCTTGCTCCGTGGAGCGAATTTTCCGAAATTCAGGTTGGATCTCGGGTGTGCGTTGGCCCTTTATGTTACACTTAAGATAAGTGCTCCATGGGGCTGAGATTCCTGGAGCGAATCGGCGCAACTAGAAGCGTGTCAGAAACCTGAGTAGCAACCTGAGTAGCAATAGAAAGAAAAAGAAAGAAAGAGAGAAAGAGCAAAAAGAAGCGGGCAAGAGAGAAAGTAGGTGTAGTCCCTTCCGTGTCTGCCGAGTAAAAAGTGCCGACGGAATGGCAAATTAATGGAGAACCATTAGGAACAGTGCCAGGTGATTTGGCACAAAGAAGCATGAGTTACACCTAAAGAGCCTCTAGGAAAAGAAAGAAAGCTGAAAAGAGAGACGAAACAGGAAGGCGAGAAAGACTGCAAAACTTGTGTCTTCCGAGCAAGTGTGCCGAACGCATCGGCAGACTATGTAAAAATTGAGGTTGGGAACTCACGATTGAAACTGATTCAGTAGTGGGTTTGGAGTAGCTCTGCAGCATGAATGAAAGATTCGAGGGTGAGACAAATTCTTGAGATGAGTTTCAAGCAACATCAGCCTTCGTCAAGAAGAGGCCTCAGTGGGACTTTGCCGAAACTGCTCTCCTGGAAGGGAGTTAAGACTCAGGAACGGCGCCTCTGCAAGGATCACACAGCTCACCACAGTGGGAAGAAGCTGCGATACACACTTGAGGATAGTGCTCCGAAGAGCGAATTTTCCGGAATTCGGGTTGGATCTCGGGTGTGCATTAGCCCTTTATGTTACACTTAAGATAAGTGTTCCGTGGAGCTGAGTTTCAGGAGTTCGCGGTGCGCATTAGCCTTTTACTCTTCCTGCAAATTTGACCTTCGCTTGGCGAACAGAATGGCGAGAGGTCCAGAAAACTGTACTGCTTAACATGAGTGAAACGAGAACGGTTAAGGACATTATATGTTCATTATCTTTCCTTTTGCCAGAGAATGTAAGGTCCATAGGCCACACCATCTAATATAAATGAAAAGAATAATAAATGTCTTTGCCAATCATATCATCAATCTCTCACTTGAATTTCAAGAGCTCATTTATCTATTATCTTCTTATTAGCGGTCAGAATGCAGGTACGTGGATTCTGTGTCCAGAATCCATATCAGTGGCTCAAAACAGCCTCTTCGTTGGACTGCAGCTGTTGAGTGTCAGGCAATCCCCTCCTGAAAAATTTAAACCCATGGAGACGGGAGGTGACACACACAGATATATATATATATACAGTATATATAATATTATATAACTCTATATGTATATGCAATTATAAATTACAACTCAAATATATCCCCCATATCAGTGAATGAAGCTACGAGTAACAGAAGCCAACCGAAGCCACGAAAAGCCTACAAACGCAACCAAAAGCCAAAAGTCAAAGCCACAGAAAGCCAAAAGCCACCAAAAAGCCAAAACCCGCCAAAGCCAAAAGCCAATAAAGCAAAAAACCAGCTAGCACACCACAAACGAAAAAAAAAAACGAACAATATATTCTATTTAAAATTACACCGGCAAGGGACCCCAAATAGTAACAGATGGAACATGGCATCACGTGGAAGGAAAGAAGGAGCACACAGATGAGAGCACAAATATGAGAGGATACATGGTGATGGTCATGGTACTGGTGGTGGTGAAGGTGGCGCTGACGGTGGTGGTCGAGCCAACAACTTTCAAAACGGCAAGTTCATTGAAATTCAAAACCCTTCAAGAACATCTGCACATCGAGATTCACGAGCACAAATGAGAGCACACATATGAGAGCATATGGGAGCACATATGAGAGCACATGAGAGCACACATCTGAGAGCACAAATGTGAGAGAGCACATACAAGCACAAATCTGAGAGCACATAGGCGAGTACATAGGAGCATTTCGAAGTTCACAAAGTACTGCGCCTGCCACGAAATCTGCACATTGAGATTCACAAAGTGCTGTGCCTGCCACGAAATCTGCACATCGAGATTCACAAAGTGCTGCACCTGCTACGAAATCTGCACTTCCAGACTCAGCAAGTAAGTGCTGCGCCTGCCACGAAATCTGCGCATCTAGATTCACACAGTGCTGCGCCTGCCACGAAATCTGCACATCGAGATTCACAAAGTGCTGCGCCGGCCACGCAATCTGCACATCTAGATTCACAAAGTGCTGCGCCTGCCACGAAATCTGCACATCGAGCTTCACAAAGTGCTGCGCCTGCCACGAAATCTGCACATCGAGATTCAC